GGGGGGGACCCGGGGCTGGAGGGGGGCCCGGGGGAGGTGGAGGTCCTGGAGGGGGAGGCGGGCCCCCAGACAGGGAAGCAGGTGGGCCTCCTGCAATAAACAGGGAGAACAGTATTGCTGAGGAACCCTATTCTTTGTCCAGCCCGCCCAAAACGGTCCTCCAGGGAGGACTCCATGACCCAGCAATTGAGTCATTACCTGCATTGGAGACACAGACTTCCAGGTGCTCAGGAGGCCTGTGCAGGGGAAAGGAAGCTGCCTTCAGTGTCCAGACCAAGCTAGCCACAGGGCCAGCAGCATCTGGTTCCTCTCAGAGGTCACCAGCAAGGCCAGTACCTCCTACACCTGCCTAGCTGTCACGAACAGCTGATGACAAAGTGGCTAAGGGTCTCAGAAAGATGTTAAACCCAGGTGTGGAGTCGGGGACACGAGAATGGTGTATTCGCTTCTCAGATTCTTGGGGGTGGGGGGTGATAGCTTTTCTTTTATTCTCTATTGAAGACAGGGTCTCACACTGTGTAGCCTTGGCTAGCCCGGAATGTACTATGTAGATCAGAGTGGATTCGTTTCATTTGTTTTTCGAGACAGTTTCTCTGTAGCCTGTCCTGGAATTCACTCCGTAGACCAGGCTGGCCTCGAACTCATAAAGAAAAAAATCTGCCAGCCGGCGTTGGTGGTGCCCGCCTATAATCCCAGCACTCAGGAGGCAGAGGCAGGCGGATCTCTGTGAGTTCGAGACCAGCCTGGTCTCCAGAGCGAGTGCCAAGATAGGCTCCAAAGCTACACAGAGAAACCCTGTCTCAGAAAACCAAAAAAAAAAAAGTGAAATCCGGCAGGGTTCTAAACCTGGGAAGCCAAAAGGGAGTAAGGGTCCTCACCTTTTCTGTTGTTCCAGCTCCTCTGGGGAGGGGCCGTTCTGTGCAGACCAGGCAGGGGGTGCAGGAGCCACGGGAGGCCCACCTCCTGGAAGGTGAATGGGAAAGCACGGTGGGAATGCAGGAGCTCCACCCTCTCTCATGAGGATGCCATCCCACTGAACCAGAGCCCTGACATCCCTCCATAGGGAGCAGCCCCCCCGGGTCTGAGCTGCTGCCTGGCAGGCGCTGTCGGGACACCCAAAGGACACAGATGTGCCACTAGTCACTTTACTAGTCCCAAGGGACTGAACACAGGCCTGCACTACAGATGGCATTTCTCCACACACAACGGGCAAGCTCTTCCATCAGTATTGACAAGGCCCAGGGATGCCAACGCCTCAGCCACTGGGCAGATTTCACTCTACAGAAAGCAGAGCAGCTACCTAGGACATAACCTATCTGAGGGTAGGAGGAATGGGGGCGTGGCTCAGTGGTGGAGCTACTGCCTAGAATCCCCCAGTGAGGGGCTGGGGGGGTGGCTCAGTGGGGGGGGCCCCGGC